TCTTCAAAACTTTACTACTATGTGTCTTGCTGTAGTTCTTCAAATTTTATGTAGTTTGGTTCTATTTGACTCCTGTATTTCTAGATTCATTTCCATCTTCAAATTTGGGACGTTTTCTTCCTTTATCTCTTTCAATATCTTCTCCTTCATATCTGAAGGAAAGCCTTGCTGAATATTTTTCCTGGCCAACAATTTTAAAATTTCATTCCACTCTTTCCTTGTTCTGAGTGTTTTTTTCAGAAAAGTCTGATGCTACCCTGATTGGGTTCCTTTATTAATGTCTGTTCCTCCTTACCAGTGTCAATATTATTTCTTTGTCCTAAATCCTTGGAAAAGTCACCACTATATTTCTTGGTGTAAATCTCATTTTGCTTTGGTACTTGAGGGTTTCTATTACTTCCTAAATTTGTTCACTCAGTCCTCTAGTCAGACTCAAGAATTTTTATTATTTCTATATATTTTTTGTTTTCTTTTTTTTCTCTGGTTTACTCATTAATATTTTTCTTTTTCTCACAGAGTTGGATAATTTTTGGAGAGTTGCCTCATCTTTTAAAATACTTTCTCACTTTCCTTTTCCACCCAGTTTTTTTTTTGTTAATTTTCATCTTGCTGTACACTGACCCACTCTTTCATTTTGTCTAAGTTTTCTTCTGAAATTTTCATTTCCTCTAGTGCTCTTTAATGCACTGATTCACCATGTTTTTCTTATTTAGACCTTCAACTGCATCTTACGTTTGTTGATTTTATTTCTCATTATAGTTATTTCCTCCTTGAATTACCTTCCATTTCTCTTTCTGTACCACAGTGACTTTGAATTTTATTTCTGATAGTAAGAACAGATCTTCCATGTTCTTGTGATTGGGTTCTGGAGACTTGTTCTCTTTCTGTGCCCTGTGGACTCTGTTGCTATTTGTTGCTGTATTTTTATACCTTCCCTTTATTTTTCTATTATGGTACCTTACTGTTTTGAGGGAGGGGGTTCTGATCTGGATGAGTTTCCACCCTGTGTTCAGGTTTGGGGATGGTCTGACTAGGGCCACAAGGCACTGCTGCTTCTAAAATACTTTTGAATTTTGTTTTCAAGTTCTCTACCTTTGGGTCACTGGTGGCATACACAGGTTATGTTATATTCTCTTTTTTCCAGGTCTAAGAACTCTCTGCATTGCCTATACAGATTTAACTGAGATCAAATATCGGCAGTGGCTGGTAAAGTATAAAAAAGCTAGTACAATTGTAGAAGGCAGAAATCAAAGGTTGGAAAACTGTTATGATATTATTGAAAAGGTAAAGTAACCCATATGTACTCTGTGTGCCAGTATAAATATGATAAGAAATAGTGTTTATCAATGTTTCTTATCTTGATATAACTCCTAAATCTCAAGTTTTGTTTTCTTCAAAAGTATAAGTCTGTTATACTGAAAATTATCCACCTTTTTATTGTTGTTGTTGTAGTTCATATTTCCAATCAGAGTCCTAATTTAATTAATCATACTTATTTAAACTTTTGTCCTACTTACTCCAAAATCTGTCATACCTGAATCTGGTCCTGATGCTTCCTCTGTCCAGACTGATGTTTGCCTTTTTGCCTTTATATATTTTTTGTTGCTGAAAGTCATACTTGATGCATTGTATAAAAGAAAAGTAAATAGGGCTTTATTGTGAAATTTTGTGTATGTTCTTAGAAATTAGGCTGTGGTTACTATTTGCAGTAGATGTGACTAAAATTTTAGCTAGAGGCTAAAATTTCATCTAGTGTCCCCTACCATCTTTAGTTTTTCCATAAGCAGAGTCTGAATT